CCCCCCCCCCGGAAAGGGAACAACTACTCGCCGCAGCGACATGTTCCAGGACCGCGGGGACAGAACTATTCACAATTCAGCCGTCCTACGGCACACACATTTTTGGCCAGCCGTCTTACGGCATACAAGCATCGTCAAATAGTCGGAGAGGACACACCTCTCAGCAGAAGTATTCGCAAGTCAGCCGTCTTACGGCAAACACACGTTTTGGACAGCCGCCGTGCGGCACACACACATATTCTAAGAGCCGTCTTACGGCACGTTTTCGCCGGGCAGAACGCGTCTCGAAATCGCCCTTGCCGCCTTGCTCAACCGGGAGTGCGCACGTCTCCAACTGCCTTTTCCTGCCTGCTCTATCGCTTGCTCTCCACCGTTTTGCTTGCTTGCACGAGTTTTGCCACCGCATGCCGAAAGAGACCTACGGAGCGGCCAAGTTCAAGGGATAGGACGAGGATTGACGGAATCACGGGGACGACGGCCGACACGGTGAGTCGCTTCGCTTAATATTTCGTTGCATGCGTTTCTGCTTTCGCGTTAAACATTTGATAGTCGTGAGGGGAAAGCGACAACCCCCCTCTGGTCCTTCGAGTATCGCAAATCTTGCCTCCGGGGCGAAACTATCCCCGTTCATTGGTCCTTCGAGCCGGATCTCGCGTTAGAAAATTACCACCGACCTTTCGCTCACGTCGCATTATTCATTAACTTGTTAATTTTCGCACATTCTTGTAATCGCGCATCGCGACAACACGTGGCGCGTGGTAGTCTCTCGCGATATCTTTCGTTCGCAACTCCTTGTGACGAGAATACTCGCGTGAACTTCTCTTGTCGCAACCATGCCATTGCTGTTATCTGCCTTTGTCGTGAATACGCTTAATTGTTTGTTCTTATAGTCGCGAGATGCAGTAACGCGCGGCGTGTTAATAATTTTTAGTCTCGCGCGATATCGCTCGTTCGCAATTCTTAATTCGCAGCGAGAATACTCGCGTGAACTTCTCACTCGTCGTGACACGTTCCGTCGCTGTTATTCGCATTAACGCGAATTGCAATAACGCTTGGCGTGTTAATAATCTAATTAACTCGCGACGAGAATATTCGCGTGAATCCACGATCTCGCGCGATATCTCTCGCTCGCAATTCTTTCGCTCGTTGTAACACGTTCCATCGCCGTTATTTGTACTAATCGTAAGTTGCGCAATTGACGCGGTAATTAGTTAAAGCCCGTCATTGTTAACATAGAAGCCGAAATATTCAGATCTTGAATATTCTCGGGCTGGTCATACGTTTTCGCCGCGCCGTCGACGGCCTTGACGCTCGGTCACGGGCCGGCAGCGTATGTACACAGTTTTTCTACATAGGCTCGCGTTCCATAATAACGCGTTACCTTATTTTCGTTGTTGCTGGGTGTGTTTCGGCCAGACTCGAAATACATATTGAAAACACATACTGAATATTATTCCGATCGTTGGAATTCTCGCAAACATAATTGCCACCGATCGAATATACTGTTCGTCGGCACTGGTTCCCGGTATAGAATATATTGCAGCACTCAAGGTAATCTCATCAAAGATTATAATTACAATTATAATCACAATTGCAACAAAGTTGGCGTAATTAATGCTCATGTCGTGGATTATAGCTCCTGTCATGTGTATACTGCTCATGTCGTATACGCTGCTCGTGTCGTAGCTCCGCGCGCAACATGTATTGCTGAAAACTTAATTTGAACAAATACTTGAGTGCATTCCTCGCCGTAACCGGGCACCTGTGCCAACCTAATTGATAATTTTGATCGCTGATACAACTATTTTTTTTTTTTTTGTACATCCCTTGCAACCCTCTTCCTTGCTAGCTCTGCACTGCATTTGATCCCCTTTTCTTGCGTTCGCCATTCGCTCTTGCGATTAACAAACTTGTCATTTTAATTGCGCTATTATATCGTGTTTCTATCGGGACATTCTATCGGGAGTATCGTGCCTTCGCGTAGGAATCCGAACCGAGCCATCCGTTATTTGTCACCTTGGCGAGCGGAACAGTTGTGTTGTTTTCTGGCATTCCAAAGTCGAGGCTTTTTGTTCTCTAGTGTTTGTCGACAGTTCGTACTGAGGTGAGTTGTCGTTGCCTTGAGTTCACGTGAACCCCCAACCCTGCGCGCGTGTTCCACTTGTTTGGTTGACTTAGCGTCGTATTCCGATCATCATGGGCCGAGGTCATATAACTAGACGCGAGCTGTGTATACAGCGGATGAGGGAGATCCATGAGCTGTCGATGCTCGCCGTGGACAATGTGGCACAGAGGCCAAATTTCCTAGTTAGATACCCTACCGTAGCTGGACTGATTAAAGATTTTGAGGCGGCTCACCTCAAAATAATCCAAGACGCCTCAGACGAGGAGTTTACCGCGGAAGACGCAATCCGTAAAGAATTCGATACGATACGCTTCGGAGTAATCGGGCGTTATGAGAAATTTGTGGGCGCCGACCGAGCGGCCGCCGCGGCCGCTCAGGTCCCGGTCCAAACGTCGTCTATCCGACTGCCCAAAATCTCACTTCCGGAATTCTCGGGTGATCTCGCGCTTTGGCCCTCGTTCATCGCGTTGTTCAACGTTTCGATTCACGAGAATCGGAGCATCTCCTCCATGGAGAAATACCAATATCTGGTAGCCTCATTGAAAGGAGAAGCGCTCAACGTCGTGAAGAACCTCCCCCTCTCCGCCGACAACTACGCGATAGCCTACGACGCCCTGATTTCGCGATATCAGAATAAGCGGAACTTAGCGGATTACCACGTGGACTTAATGCTAAACGCCAAGCCGTTAAAATTGGAGTCAGCCGCCCCTCTCCGCACGTTGTTGGACACATTTACCGAAAATACGCGAGCATTGAACTTGTTAGGGTTCCCCACGGACTATTGGGACTATTTACTCCTCAAATTCTTGCTAGAAAAACTACCTCGTTCGCTTCGCGAGAAATTCGAATCCGAACACCGGGCAGAGGAGATACCAAAGTACGCGCAACTCACGAAGTTCCTATCGGATCACTGCCGGGTTCTCGCGTCCGTATCGGGCCCCACGAAGATGTCGATCGAGTCACAGTCGTCTTCGGTAAAAAATTCCGCATCGGCCTCGTCGCTTGCTACTCAGACTGCCGAGTGTCCGGTGTGCGAAGAGCAACATCTCGTGTTCAAGTGCCCTCGATTCTTGAAACTATCCCCCCGGGAAAGGCATTCAACGACCAAAACCGCGAATTTGTGTTTCAATTGCCTTCGCGCGGGTCATGGCGCTAACAACTGCACATCGACGGGGACGTGCCGGTCGTGCCAGGCTAGGCATCATACCCTATTGCATTTCGGACGGAATTCGGGTCCAGCGGACACCCCGGCGGATACCGGAGCCTTCTCCGAATCGACCGTCGACGGGAGTTCGTCGCCACAAAATAATGAACCCCTCGTCACCATGGCTAGCGTCGCGAAATCGAGTTCGACAGTATTATTGTCAACGGTGCAGGCCGAAGCTCTCGACGTTCACGGAAATCCCTTCCCTGTTCGCATTCTTTTGGATAGTGCCAGTCAATTAAATTTCATTTCGGAAAATTGCATGAAAAAGGGTGGTTTCAAACGAACCAAGTGTCGTACTGTGGTCCTAGCGGTAAGTGATACTAAGGCGGCTGCCACTCGAGGTAGCACCTCACTCGTGATTCAAGTACAGGGTAATGGCAATACTCGCGTTCCGATAGAGGCTACGATTCTCCCACGCATCTCCGCCCAATTACCTAGTAGACAAGTCAAACAAAGAGCGTGGAAACACATAGAGGGATTAAAGCTCGCGGATCCGCAGTATCACCGACCTGGTCCCGTCGACATCTTAATCGGCGCAGATATCTTTGCCTCGTTGATTCGGGACGGTCGTCGTGTAGGAAGGAAAGGTGAACCAGACGCCTTTAATTCCATTTTTGGCTGGGTTCTGGTTGGCTCAGTGTCGACTCAGGCATCTCAGTTTACTCATTCGTTTCTAACTCTCGATTCTCTAGATGCATCTCTCAGTCAATGTTGGCAGTTAGACGAGATCCCTACACATTCGGGAGTCACAAACTCAAGCGGGAGGTCTCTCGTCCGCACGCCGCATGGGCGCGTCGCGGCGGGGTCAACCGCGCGCGTGATGTCTCTCGTCCGGGCGTCGCATGGGCACGTCGCGGCGAAGGTATCCGCGCAATCGTTGTTTCGCTTCACCACGCGGGACGTCTCTCGTCCGGGCGCTGCATGGGCACGTCGCGGCGAAGACAACCGCGCAATCGTCGTTTCGCTTCATCACACGGGATGTCTCTCGCCCGGGCGTCGCATGGGCACGTCGCGGCGAAGACATCCGCGTAATTGTCGTTTTGTTTGGACGAGGTCGAGTCCTTACACGCTCACCTCGTCATCATGCACCGCCGAGTCACACGCGCTCAGGGGTCACAAACTCAAGCGGGAGGTCTTTCGTCCGCGCGTCGCATGGGCACGTCGCGGCGAGGATAACCGCGCGCGTGATTTCTCTCGTCCGCGCGTCGCACGGGCACGCCGCGGCGAAGATATCCGCGCATTCGTAGCATTGTTTGGACGAGGTCGAGTCCCTATACACTCATCTCGTCATAGCGCGCCGTCGAGTCGCCTGCACTCACGGTGCCCTTGGACACCGCCGCCTCGGCGTATCACCACTCGGGTATCGCCGAACGGTAGGACCTTACCGCCGCCTTGGCGTATCGCCTTGTTCCTCCCGCCATCGCGGAGGGCTCGTTGGGTGTCGCCAAGCGGCCGGACCTCATTCGGAGGTCCCGAACGAACTCGCATCCTTGATCCAGGGGGGCTCTTGACCCCACTCATGTTCGCATATTGTCTCCGATTTGTTACCAAAACTAGATCAAATGCGCTCACTCTCGTCGTGGATCAAATCGAATTTCAGTCGACCTTGTTATACCTCGTCAAATTTGTACAATCTCGTTGCTTCACAGAGGATATCGGTAGCTTAAGACGCAATCAGAGTTGCTCCAGACCTCTGCGAAAACTTGCCCCCTTCTTGGATGGTCGCGAAGTCCTCAGGGTGGGCGGCAGGCACACCCATTCTGCCATCTCATACAAGGCTAAACACCCCGCATTGCTGTTTAACCGACATCGACTCACGGAACTTATAGCAGAGCGCACCCACCGCCTACATTTGTATCCGGGACGTCAAGCGTCACATTACATCTTGGCACAAAACTTCTGGATCCTAGTAGAAGCTATCCTGAACTCCAGACCCCTCTGTCCCACCAGTTCAGATCCCAGCGACCTCGGGGTGCTCTCCCCGGGACACTTCCTCACCCTGGAGCCTCTCGTGGCGGTTCCACACCCTGACCTGAACCCGGTGCCGACACACAGACTCGATCGGTGGCAAATGGTGCAACACATGCACCAGCAGTTCTGGAGAGGGTGGCATGACGAGTACCCACACACCCTCCAACAACGACCGAAGTGGTTGCAATCGGCACCTACGGTAAGAAAGGACACATTGGTCCTGGTAAAGGGCGAAAACGCCCCTCCCTTGCAATGGAGGCGAGGGCGGATCGTGGAACTGCACCCGGGCCGTGACGGCGTCGCTCGGGTCGCTACGGTGCGGACGGCGGATGGCGTGCTTACCCGTCCTCTGGTGAAGTTGTGCCCACTGCCGATGGACACTTCACCAGAGGAATCTGTTCAAGCATAGAAAATACGTCGTAATTTGGTGGGCGGTATGTTCGGCGTATCGCCTTGTAAATAGCATAGTTACTTTATGTCCATGTATTCATGTATCGTTTATACTTAGTTGCATAAGTCGTTTGTAATTCTCGCGCGAAACGTCGGCGGATCGCGATCAACCAAATCATGCGACTCACCTGTCGGTGCTGCCATCGCCCATCCGCCGACGGTATCCACCCCCCCCCC